CTTTTAACTTTGTCTTTGTGAATAACTTTGCCCTTTTCTGGAAACGTTACGAAGCCTATCGTCCAGACGGATTACACCCAAACAGATACGGTAGCAGCCTGTTGATGGGCTACATGCGTTACGTTGTTCAGCGTTCCCCGAGGGGGGCGTGACTGTTTACATCTGAGCCCCCTCGGACCCCACCGCACTCCCCCGCCTCCTGCTCACCAGCACCGGGTGAGTACAACGGTGCAAACACTGCTCCCTGTCCGTCTGGCAGTGCATTACCAGTCCAAACACTGAACTGTGCTGACTCCCTTCTGACTCTGGGAGCTAAAGAACAACAAGGGTTTTCACATTTTAGTCCAATTGAGACTGTGTGTGTTCCTCGCACCAGCTCAAAAATGTTTTTAAATTCTAAAAAACGAAATCAAAACAGGACAGCAGTTAGACGGTCCAACTCTGCAAATCTAATTTCTGTTCCCTGTAGAAATCAATCAACCACATTAATCGACTCTGACGTTATTTTTAAACTTGCTATGCTTAATGTCAGATCTCTATGTAACAAATCATTTTTAATTAATAATTTTATCACTTCTTATGATCTTGATTTTATGCTTATGGCTGAAACATGGCTGGACCAAAATACAGGAAATGCAGTTCTAATAGAAGCAACACCACCCAATTTTAAATTCGAATCCGAAATACGAGAAAACAAAAGGGGGGGAGGCATAGCTGCAGTTTTTAGAGAGCACTTTGTCTCCCATAGAATGCCCCTTGGAAATTTTTCATCGTTTGAGTATATTTCTTTTAAAATGGAACAAAAGCAATCTTCTACTCTTTTCATTGTCCTGTACAGGCCACCACAGTCATGTTGCGATTTTATTGACCATTTTACTGAACTACTTTCATTCGTGTGCACAGATTTTGATAGTTTAGTTATTACAGGTGATTTTAATGTACATGTTGATAATGTTGATGACAGAAATGCAAAGGAGCTGGCTTCTGTATTTGAGACCTTTGGTTTCATTCAGCACGTGAGTGGCCCCACCCACAGCAGGGGGCACACTCTTGACCTGCTAATTACAAAGGGGGTTAATGTATCAAATGTTAATGTAGTTGATGTTGCTTTGTCAGATCATTTCTGTGTATTTTTTGACATGTGTTTTGCTAGCAAACCACCAGCTGAATTTACAATTGCTAGAAGAAGACACATACATGAAAACACAGGTGAACTGTTCATGGGAATGCTAAATTTTGAGAAAACTCCATGCTCTACTGTTGATGAATTGTATAACTCTGTCACCACCAGTGTTCTGAATGTTCTGGACGCCATTGCTCCTGTGACGGTTAAAATAGTTACCAGTAAGAAAAAGGCCCCATGGACTAAGGCAGACTCGGTCAGGGCACAGAAGCAAGAGTGCCGGAGGGCCGAACGGAAGTGGCGAAAGTCCAATTTCCAGGGCGATTATGAAATCTTTAAAGATGAGTTGGGTGAATTTAACCGGGTTCTACGAAGAACAAGAGAAATGTATTTTTCTGACATTATTGGAGGTTGCAGTAACAATTTTCGTGTTATGTTTTCAACAGTTGGTAGATTAACGAACCCCCCTGTAAAGTTGCCCCTAGAATTTTCCTCTAAATCTAGGTGTAATGAGTTCGCACAGTTTTTCGATGACAAAGTACAAGGAATCAAAAACACTATCACCTCCACAGCACGTATAACAATGCAACAGCCAGAGAAGCTTTTTGAGCTAACTCACTTTGCACCTGTGGATACTGAAACTGTCAAAAAGATAATCATGAGTCTGAGCTCCTCCACATGTAGCCTGGATATATTGCCCTCTAAATTTCTGAAGTCCGTCCTGAGCAGTTTGTTACCTTCACTGACACAAATAGTAAACATGTCTCTGTCGTCAGGAACATTTCCTATGGCCCTAAAAACAGCAGTCATAAGACCTCTCCTAAAAAAGAGCAGTCTGGATCCTGCGGGACTTCAAAATTATCGCCCCATATCGAATCTGCCATTCATTGGAAAAATTCTTGAAAAAGTGGCCTCCCAACAACTTACTGAATTTTTAACAATGAATAATTCTTTTGATATGTTCCAGTCTGGGTTTAGACCCCACCACAGCACTGAGACCGCTCTAGTGAAGGTAACAAACGACATTCGACTTCACACTGATGCAGGTAAAGTCACAGTTTTGGTCATGTTAGATCTTAGTGCCGCGTTCGACACTGTCGACCATGAGATCCTCATGCAGAGACTGGAGGACTGGGTTGGTGTCACTGGCACAGCCCTAGACTGGTTTAGGTCTTACCTGGAGGATAGGAAGTACTTTGTGGAGATTGGAGACTGCGTCTCAGATCATGTGGCCCTGACCTGTGGAGTACCACAGGGGTCGATCCTGGGACCTCTCCTATTTAATCTCTACATGCTGCCGTTAGGTCAGTTAATACAAAGAAACAAAGTGTCCTACCACAATTACGCCGACGACACTCAGATCTATGTCTCACTGACTGCAGGAGAACATGGACCACTGGATTTGCTCCTTCACTGTATCCAACAGATCAGTGAGTGGATGCAAAATAATTTCCTCCAGCTAAATGCAGACAAAACCGAAATCATTGTCTTTGGTCCCCAGAAACAAAGAGAGGGCGTCATCTGTCACCTCCAGTCTCTCTCCCTAAAACCTTCAAACAAGGTCAGAAATTTGGGGGTAATACTGGACTCAGACCTAAATTTCAATAGCCACATAAAATCAATAACATCAACAGCTTTTTACCATCTGAAGAACATTGCCAAAGTCAGAAATATAGTGTCCAGGGCAGACTTGGAGATTCTTGTCCACGCATTTGTCTCCAGCAGGCTAGACTACTGCAATGGCCTGCTTACAGGTCTGTCCAAACAGACCTGTAAGCAGCTGCAGTACATCCAAAATGCAGCAGCTAGAGTCCTGACAGGAACCAGGAAGTATGACCATATTAGTCCGGTCCTCAGGTCTCTGCACTGGCTTCCTGTGGCTCAAAGAATAGATTTTAAAACAGCTCTGCTTGTGTACAAGTCTCTCCATGGCCTTGCACCAGAATACATTAGTGACATGTTGCTGTCATATGAACCAGCCCGGACTCTGAGGAGCACAGGGACTGGCCTCCTGCTGGTGCCCAGAGTGAGAACCAAACATGGGGAGGCTGCGTTTCAGATCTATGCAGCTAAGATCTGGAACAATCTCCCTGAAAATGTGAGGGAGGCGTCTACTCTGTCAATGTTTAAATCCAGGTTAAAGACTGTTCTGTTTGCCTGTGCATACAACTGAAGGATTTTATCTCCATTTGTAATGCACTGCTGTCATTTATTTATTTATTTTTTTTAAATTTCTTGTGTAACTTTGAAAGTGTTAATGGTTTTATTCTTTTGTGTGATTTCATTGTTTTTATTGTGTTTTAATCTTTTGTGTGATTTTAATGTTTTAATTGTGATTCTGGTGTTTGTTTTATGTGATGATTTGTGATGTGGACTGTGAAGCGCTTTGTGTTGCCCTGTGCATGAAAGGCGCTCTACAAATAAACTTTGATTGATTGATTGATTGATTTGGTTTTTTTTTTTAGATCAGCTTGAATTGTAGCAGTTAACACTTTTCATATTGTTCCTTCACACTTGAAGGCGTTCTGACTGCAGTTTTTGTTCAAAAACCAAGACCTACTTGAGTTTTTTCTCTTACTTCCATTCTTCTTATCCTCCTCTGTTCCCCCTCCCTCACCTCCCTCTCTCCCCCTCCCTCCCTCTACATGGTTAGGTAGAAGAAAAGGTGTAAGTGAACGCTAAAAGGCGCACAGAGCAATCAATAGCAGTGTAATTAGGACGGCCTGGTCTTTCTATAAAGTCATTTCGAATGGTTCTGCTCGGCTCGCTGCTCTGCTCTCTCCGTCCGCGCCTCATATTCTAATTGCTCCGGAAATTTGTTTCACTTTTAGAATTTGTTCAGACTGGAAGATGAAATATGAAAAGAAAAAAAAATATGATTGCTGTGAAAGTGTTTCAATTTTGTAGGTTCCTTGTGGGATTCAGGCCCAATCCGCACAAAGTCAAATTCAGGCCTAACCACAAAAAATACTATCAATCCAGACTATGATCCATAAGAAGGCATTTTGAGAAGGTCTGAAAATACACATTTTTCTAAACTGGTCCCAGAGTAGATATGTTTGGTTCCATCTTCTCGTAATACAGTTTCAAAACTTAATGCTATTTAGTCTTCTTCTGGGCAGGGCCTAATTTAAATCATGTTCAAACATGAGTGATTGTAATAAAGGAATTGCACATTGTAATTTATTTTATTTCTGACTGTGATCAGTCAGAATCAGTATCCAGTATAGACCACAGTATAGACTTCCTGTCCTGTTCCCCTGTGTTAATTGTCTTTTTTATATATACCTTGTGATCCTCTTCCCTTCTTTCTGGTCCATTGCCTTGTTTGTCCCATCTGTTGGTTTCCTGGTTCCCGTTTTCCTTTTGGAATTTGAATTTTGAATTTGTTTTTACCTTGGACTTTTGTTTATTATCACATTTAATCATTATTTTCAGTGTTTCTGCATTTTTGGGTCCCTCTTCATATCACCCCATGACACAATTCAATGTTCTGTCACTGTGGACAATAGGAATTTCAAAAGGTCACCAAGAATGATACAATGCAGTATTTTTTATTTTTTTCAAAGCCTGAATTGAACACAGAAGAATCGGTGGACACATCTTTAAGGAGGATGAGGAGGCTATTCCTGCTGCTATTTTACAATAAGATATTAGTGTACACAAATTCTAAGGTGTATCTGTTTGAATGGTGACGTTTTTTTTACAAGCCCATCCCGACATATTGTCAGGCAGTCAAATCAATCATTGCTCTCATGTCAGGTAGTCTTTATTTTTTAGCTGATTGCAAAATACAATAACATAATAATAGGTGACAAATAAAAGAGAGCTAAAGTACCATCATATTTGACATCCTTTTTTTCTATTTACTTTTCAGAGTCCAAGATTATCACACTGACAGTTGCAAACCAGTGGGCCTACAAGAAGATCTACAATGTCATTGGATATCTGAAAGGGAAGAAGAATCCAGGTAAGTGCTTGGACATCAAAAATCCTCACAAGTATGTCCACTGAGAACGGACTTAACTTAATTAAACATATAACACATCAAAAATTAGGGCTGGATCTGTATGAAGACTTGAACTGTCAAAACGTAACCATAAATACTAAAAGTTTTGATGCAAACCAGAGCCTCTACCACTTTTATTTATCTTGCATCTCACTGGTTTGATGTGCACCTGCATTTGTAAGTGAAACCACTTTGTGTGTGAATGGAAAAATATCTGATATCTGAACATTGTAAAGCGCTTTAGGTGACCTTGGTCTGTAAAATGCGCTATATAAATAAACCCTTACATATTTACTTCTGATCTGCAGAAAAAAACTCCCCTAAATTCCCTTCGCTGTGAATATCATAATTACATCTGTGTGTTTGAGCCAGTAGCAGAGCAACACGACGGCAACAAGCAGCACAATGACCCCAGCCCATCCCGACGCAGCAGACACCAGAGCAGTCTGTCTGTGTCTCCATCTGTGAAGTAATATTACACAAATGTCTCTATAAAAAAAAGCTGACATTCATTTTAAAATCAGGCTGCATTTACATAATTCCTTTAACCACAATAATAGAAAATAAAAAAAATCTGTTATTGAGCTCATTTCCCGATGACCCTCTCTTTGGCGCGTGTAGCTCTCCAGTGGCAGGATGTCTGTGGCTCTGGCAAAGGCATTTGTCCTTGATTAGTAATGCACAGTTAAACCTGCAAACCCGACTTTAATTACACTTCAGATCCTACAGTTGCTGCTCACTGCACTTAGCTGCTCATTTGTGCTACAGGTGCTCCTCAGTCTTTGATCAAACACTTTGAATGAAAACTGCATTAAGGAAATGTGCAATGTTAATGTTCCCCTTACAGCCAGGGTTATATTGAATATTCATTTGTCTGATAATGTGTGTAATGTCATATACGTCCATTTACTTCTCGCTTCTATGTTACTGTTGAGATTGGAATTTCTAAACTATGATAAGAAGCTCAGGTTGTTTTTTAAACATGATTCTCTTCATTATTATCTGTAAAAAAAAAAGGGTGAAGATAGTTATTTTATTGACCAGACGACAGGTTGTGGCTTTTCACTGGTTACGAGGATTGTTGCATTATTCACCTGGATAGTGTACCATGTAGTATTTAGTAGACATTTAGCCAGAATCATAGTGGCTCCATTGGTAGATCATTGGCCTTTGAGCCTGAAGGTCATGGGTTCGAGCCCTTCATGGGACCAACTTCATAACTCCCACTGATGTGTCCATGGGCAAGACACTTAACCCCACTTTGCTATGTAAAAAACATAAGAGGTAGCACTGGTCTCACATTTGTATTACTTTATGTATTTTGATCACACATCTATGGTATATTTATTGTATTGTTTTTATCCCCACTACCTTCAGTTAAAAAAATTAAAATAAAAAAGTGGAAAAATATTTTTTTTTTATGTCACACAAATTAAAACCAAGTTTGTCTCTGCACGCCTCAGATTTTAACCCAAAACATGAACTTTACAACCAAATCACATCTCGTACCAAATACACTATCAAATACCCACTATTGTGTTTTATCATCTTTTACCCTCACACAAATTATACACCGGCTGTAACTTGTGTCATAAGTCCCTAAAGGGCGGTGGATAGTTTTTTGGTGTTGCTAAATGAGGCCTGCACAGACATATGAGCGAGTGTTAACATGCTGTTAAAGTGTCTCCTCTGCTGTCGATTTGCAGCCTGTATTACGTGCTTTATGGCCCATTATGGAGTCTAATATCACAGTAAATCAGACTGTGGTCCTCTGCAGGCCGGGCAGGTACAGTGTAATCTCTGCTATTACTGAGGGGGGAGGGAGAGAATGTGCTCAGGTTAGCAAAGGTTGGGAAAAAGCCTGCTCCGGGGTTTTAGCTTTAGTCGCTTTCTACGCTTTACGACGCATAAAATACACCAATATGAACGTTTGATTATTATTATTATTCATTTATACTGGCCGTGGTTAGTGTGATTCCCACAGGTGATTGGAGTTTGCGTGTCCTCCCTGCACCTGTGTAGGTTTCCTCTGGGTGATTCACTAAGTCATTATGAATACGTTAATAATGTTTATTCCTTTCGACATAATAACAAATTGAATGACTTTATTAGACCACAAGCGTGTATATTACATGCGATCCCTTTTAAATATAGAGTTAAAAGTAAAGTAAAATGTGGCTTACACTTTGACATCTGGTTTCTGGCATACACTGCATTCAGTCACTGTGACGTGATCATGCACAAAACTATGACAGACGTACATTGCAACAACACCTGTTTCCTGCTGGAGCGCTAACAACTGACATATGTGGAAACAATATATTGGTTTTAAGCACTGTCCAAGTCCAACAAGCATGTTCACTAAAGTAGAAGTCTGTGAACGAACAGCAGCAGTAACCGTGTTTCCATCCCGTTATTTTTAATGCACATTTTGAAGTATGGCAGGAAACATGAGGAAGATGCCAAATATCACATTTAAACTCTTTATTTGTATAAAGTGTATATCAGAATAATGCATCCAAATTGGAGGTGGAATCTTCTGCCATTAGCTCCACCCTCTGCTGGATAGATTATGTCATTACAGCACAGAGGCAGCTCTTCTTTCAAGGTTATGAAACACTCAGATATGCATGCCAACTCTTTGATGTAAATGGGGATAAAGTTGCTTCTGTTATTTTCTAATAAAAATATTGCTGCATTTGATCTGATGGAAACGCAGTTTGTGTACATTGCCGGCGCTCTGGATATGTCCTAATGATATTAAATGACCCATAGCTGCAGCAGAGCATTAATTTTAATGTCTACAGTTTTGGGTCAGGTTGAATTTGAACTCTAGTCTGGAAGTTTTGTCGAGTACAAGCTGACCTAAGTAAGGTCACTCTGTGTTTTATATGTAGTGAACACTGAAGCAGAGCGGATGGGCAGTCTGCCAAAGATAAAGCTCTGACAGACAAAAAGGTGAGATGTGAAATGGATGAAGAGAAGAGATGAAGAGATGGATGTTGCGGGTTCTGTACCCGCATGACTTAGACACACTTTTATATCTGCTTTCTGCTTCTGACCAGTTCTTTAGGTATTCCAGGGCTTTAATCCAAAGTGTGTTTTTTTATTTTATTAGACAAATACAACTACTGCTTCCCCCAGGACATGTTTTGTGCATTTTCAACAGTTCGCATCCACCTGTCTTTGTACCAAAAAATGACAATTTATTTCTGAACATCTATAAGTATTCTGTACTCAGTGGATACACACACATTAGCATTTTCCATAGAGCTCTCTCTCCTCTGCTCTGTTTCATCACACAAATGACTTGAGGAGAGAAAACATATGAAACCTTTAACCAATGGGGACGATTTACAGACACTTTGAGCCTTTAAAGCAGAATTTGATGAATTCCTCCTATGGAATAAATTAATTAAAATCTAACAATAATATATCAACTAAATTCAGTGCCTGGGAATAATGACGTAATGATGCACCTTGTTAATGCTGTCCTAACAACAGTACTGCTTGACAAAAACACATACGCAAAAGACATCGTTTCGATATTTTTAATCTTGGTTGACTTTTCCAAGAAGAAGTGATCTTCGAAGCAGAGACATAACAGAGAGTTCTCTGTGTCTCCTTCCAAAACCAGATCTAACTCAGATCAGGCAGCAAACTCCTTTTGAAAGTACAAGACACAGCTTCATATGCATATAGGACAGGCAGAGCCAACACAACAAAAGAACAATGACAAGACCTTCGTTATTAGCATGTTCAAAAGCCTGCTTCCTCCTGGCATTAACACACAACTCCCCATTCACTCTGGAGTCAACAGTGGATTACAATACAGACAGCCACATATGATTTACTAAAATGATAACTTAATAACATTCTAATGTCACACCTTCACTCAATGCATCTGCTGGAGATGAATCTTTTTGGGTTTAAGTAGGGGAATAATATACTTTTTATATAGGCACTAAGAACAGGAAAACATATTTTGAAGCTTTTCATGTTTTATGCAGTACATATGGTAAAGCATTTCTTTCCTTTGAAGCATTTGTTTTACTATGTTTATTGATTGGCATTTATTCCACCAGGAGAGTCTCACTGAGATCCAACATTCACAAGTTATTCTTCCTTGCTGATGCAGAAGGGTCTGTCTTGTGAGAGTCTAACTAAAGGCCTGTGTACACTCGCGTGGCGCTGGTTGCGGTTATGTTGGACCTAGTGCTAGTGTACTAGTGCTAGTGTACCACCAACTAGAGTACCACAGTTGGTGGTACACTGGCATGTTCCCCTTACGGAGTTTTGAAGAGAATGTTGTAATCCCACAACCAACCACGTGATGGCGATCTCACAGGAGCGGTCCCTTTTACCCTGCTACTTTCTCCTCTTCAGAACAAAAGAAAGCACAATAGCGAAGCTGTTTGAGAGCATTATATGTGTATCTACTGTTTATGTGATAGTTCTATGGACTCATCGTTTCAACTCATTTAACTGTGATGTTGTGAATAAAGACACAGTTCTTGATGGAAACATAGTTATTATTAAATTGTATTCAGCACAAACAGCAAAACAATAAGTGGTAAATATCTGAGACAAACATCAACTATTTACAAATGCAGGATAAATGCAACAGACGCGATAAGCTACGATTCAAACAAAGACAGGAACAGTGCAAAAGAAACGACAGCACAGTCTATAAGTTATATATATGCTAGATATGCAACAGAACTCTCATCCACAGTCACCGCGTATATCAGGCTCTGCCATGAGCCCAAACTACTTTTTCTTTGGTTCCTTCGAAGCACAAAGCAGTCTGCTCCGAAGTGCCTCATCCATGCTCCTGCCGCCGCGCCATGCGTCACAGAAAGTAATCACACACGGACCAATCACAGCCGAGCTTCCTTGCGGCGACCCTTACGTAGTTCGACATTTTTGAGGGTGCGCGGCAGGCTACGTAAGGGCCTTGCGGTGATCCACACGTTGCGCAGGTGACGTCACGTCACCACCGTAAGCTCCGCACCGCGCCTACACACTAGGCTTAAAAGGACAGTGATTATGATCCAGGACACTCAACATTTATGGACATTTATCAACACTTATGGACATTGGTCACCTGCCGCTTATGGACCAATATCCATGTTTGAACTGTTTTACTCTCTGATCTGTGTTGCCAAATTCAACGGTTTTGTAAAGTCCTCCGAGATAACTACTGTGGTGGTTTAGGGCTATACAAGAATAAATTGAATTGAAATTCAATAGAATTCCAGAAACTGTTTTTCAGAGGAGTTTTGGCCTTGAATGGGGAGAGGGTTGTGGGGATTGCGAATGTCTTCAATGGCATAGAAAACTGAAGAAAAATGTCGGCTGTTTCCTTTCCTCAGCTGTGTTAATATGTATTTGTTATTATGTAGAGTAGACAAACTTTATATGTCCTTTAAAATTCCTGTTTTGTTGAAATTGATAACAACATTAGACAACATTTGTTTTAAGATGTGCAGTCAAGTAGATCATAAAACACTATGCATTGAGACCTATGTTAAAAGGTAGTACATTATTCTATATTATTGTATTGAATAATCAAATACTATTCCTAATCAGAGAAGGTCATCCCATTTCCAAAGAGTCGCTTTTTCAGTCAATCAGAATTAGCCTGAATCCAGGTGTCAGCAGGTCATAATAGTAGAATTGGAAGTATCACTGCCTTTCTGTATCATTTTACATTACAGCCTATGAAAACAATGGTCCAACATCATAGCAAATAATTAATAAAATAGAAAATACACATAGATTTAACCTGTCTCATGACGGTCTAAACCCAGCTCACGTTCCCTAATAAGGTTGAACAATCCAACGCTCAATTGATTCTGCTTCACAAATGTGCACTTTATTTTTCCCTGTAAGAGACTTTATCCTCTGCATTTGACCCATCCGGGAATGCCACTTGGGCCTCTGTCAGGAGAGCAGTGGTCACCATAGTACAGCACCTGCAAATGATGGAAGGAGTTGACTTCATAGAGTTAATTTGCAAAAACATAACTCCACTTTGAAAATGTATCAAAGTTGTTTTCCTCTCGTTCAGCATGTCTTGTCATTACCTGTAAAAAGGATTTATTCAAGAGGTGGTGAAACTTTATTTGTCTGGCACTAAACTAGATCTGGCTTTTAGACTTGTTAAACTACTTCACTACTTGTTAAAGGGGAAATCGTGTGCTTTTCAAATGTGTTTTTTTTTTTTTTCTAATATCACTGTATCTGTTTCTGTATCTGTAAACTATTCATATGTATAATGTCCATTTTTGCTTTGTGTTTTTCCAGATCGATATGTGCTTGTGGGCAGTCACCATGATGCTAAACAAGGGGGCGGAGCTTCGGCCATCCTCACTGAGCTCATTGCAGCCTTATCGGAGCAGACCAAGAAGGGCTGGTCGCCTGACCGCACTGCTGTGTTCTGCTTTTGGGGAGGATCCGACCTCGGACACATTGGCTCCTACGAGTGGGGAAAGGTCAGAATCAAAACTATGAAAGGCCACAAAAAGAGGCCAATAGGACGGGGACAATTGGTAACCTATTTCAAATACATCAATGGGCTATTGTCAAATCCTTCAGATATCAAGTAAACTCATGGTAACAGTTTTTTAAGGACAGACTCATTTACATATATTAACATTCTAATATGTCTAATGTCTAACATTCTACAACATTCATGGACATTTATCAACATTCATGGACATTGGTCAACTCCCCCTCTTGACCAATACATACGTGTTCTATATTCTTTGTGTTTGAACTGTTTGATTCTTTGATCTGTGTTGGTGATTTGAACGGTTTTGTTAAGTCCTTCGCCGGCGGCACGGTGCCTAAGTGGATAGCACTCTCACTTCTCAGAAAGAAGGTCTTGAGTTCAAATCCCTGTCGGAACAGGGCTTTTCTGGGTTGATATTCAAGTTTCTCCCCATGTCTGCATAGGTTTCCTCCAGGTGTTCCGGTTTCCTGTACCACTGAAAACATCCACAATACGTATGAATGTAAATGATTGTGTGAATGGATGGTGTTGATCGGGGGCTTTGATGCGCCAGTGTGTTTGGCAACTCGCTTCTGTCATCACCGTGTGTGGAATGATTGGAACAATAGCCTAACTCTGAACATTGTAAAGTGCTTTGGGTGACCTTGGTCTGTAAAATATGCTATATAAATAAACATTACTTACTTACTCTGAGAGAACTGTTGTGATGTGGGGCTATACAAGAATAAATTGAATTGAATTGAATTGAACATATACAATCAAATATGATTTATCATAGGAATACATACATGATTATAATCCATAATTGAGGAAAAGCACAAGCAGCGGAAGTAGAATCTGGCCCTACATCCAAATATCAAATGTAGTATTTTTCAGATGCAGCAAGACAAGAATGATCCAATAATAATACATTGGTTTTATAAATTTTTGGACGCTCAAAGACGCTTCACATGACATAGTTCATTCACTCCATACTGTCTTGTAAGTTTGGGGCCAGAGACAAAGTTACAACGTTTATAGTATTACATATTCCTTCCCATTCAAACTCACTGATTGTTGATTTACATTCACTGAAAATAGTTTTTCATACTTTTACCCCTCAAATCAGTAACTTGCCTGGATTAAAAGTAACAAATAGCACTAATGCCATAGTGGTAAAATATGCAAATTACAGACCACACAGCCTTTTATTAAATGAAACAAGAAGAAGTTAAAATGATGATCAGTGCGCTAGTTGATTGTGCATGTAATTTCTCTGCTCCATGCTTGTAACAATCTCCATCAATCACACTAACTGGATTCATCATGTGAAGGCAGCTTTAATTTCAACAATACATTAGCACAGTGTGTGGAGGCTGTGCTTGGAAAGAGAATCAGCTGCTGCTAAGTTAAAACTTACGTCCCTCCGGCCTGTGCCATCTGCCATCATAATGTGTAATGGTAAAGCTACACACAAAAACAGAAAAAAAAGCATCCTCAATCAGACCTAGATCAAGCCGTACACTTTTCCTCAAGTGTTTTGAAGACGGGTTCATTTTAATGTTGCTCTTTTGCCTGTATATTAATAAAGTTTGCCAATAAACTTTCCTTTTAATAATAATAACTAGAAACCGTTGCAATGGCTGAAGCCATTGCGATTGACTGCGGAACAGATCTAATGTGGAATTTAGCTGAAAAATCCTTGAAATCCTTGAAACTGTTAAAATACTTTAAACATCTTTGAAACTCCTGAAGTATTTGAAGCTCCTGATATCCTTTAAACTGTTATCCTTTATACTGGTTTACATGTAAAAACCCCTATTAAGTTGCATTATACTGGTTTACATGGAAAAATCCCCATTAAGTTGCATTATACTGGTTTACATGTAAAAACCCCTATTAAGTAGCATTATACTGGTTTACATGGAAAAATCCCTATTAGGTTGCATGATTACACTGAAGTCCTTGAAACTGCTGAAGTCCTTGAAACTGCTGAAGTCCTTGAAACTGTTGAAGTCCTTGAAACTGTTGAAGTCCTTGAAACTGTTGAAGTCCTTGAAACTCTTGAAACCTTGAAACTGCTGAAGTCCTTGAAACTGTTGAATCATTGAAACTGTTGAATCATTGAAACTGTAGAAATGTCTGAAAGAGCTGAAGTCCTATTACAGGGATTAAAGAGTTCCGTCTAGGTGACGGATTTCCGTCAAATGAAATTGGTCTGGAAAAAAAAATATATATATATATATATAATGATAATAATACACACAATGAAATGATTGATTATAAAAATAATATATAGTAATACATATACGTGTGAATCTGTTATATATATATCGATGTATAATAATAATTTGAATATAATTGTATTTATATGTATATAGAAATAATAAGTAATATAATGACGAGTGGGCCTTGAACGTGCCGTGGCCACATGAGCGCTCCGCAAATGAATCAAGGCAATGGGACGTAGCTGAGCTCACGCGCAAATGAAGACGCGATGAAGTTAGCATTGGTAACACGGAGGTGAAAGTTTCTGGAAACTGCACGGAGCTTTTGAAAAGGAGAAGAGGAGGAAAATTGAATCTCGAACGGAGCGATAACAGCAGCAGATCCGCGGACTGGTAAGCTGGGCGCGTAATAGACGAAAGGTAATTAACGTTTACCAAACGCAATGCTATTTTACTTAACGGAATGTACAAAACGGACTTTGCTGCAAATGGGAATGGGTCACAAACATGTCTTGGTGAGCTTTTGATATTGTCTTGTTTGCGATCTTCTTGCAAAACTCAGCGTGATGTAAAAGAGCCAATCAATGAGTCATGGTGCGAAAAGATGAGAGTGGCCGGTGCTTGTGCGTACTTTGCCATAAAAAATTGCATATATGGGAGCAGGGCTGGACTGGCCATCGGGCGTACCGAGCAATGCCAGAAGGGCCGATGCCCATATTTGGGCCGGTCTGTTTGCCTCATACAAAAAAGATGTTTGTGAAAAGTGTAAATCCGTTGAGAACTGTTCGAGGGGGCGCGCGTGTCCGCGGGGCACCTGCTGTATGTACTCGAACGGGATTCTACCACCTCAGCGGCCGCAGTGTTCCGGCATCCAGCGGCTCTGAGCTGGACGCGGGAACCGCTCACCGGGAGCCGCTGTCAGGATTTAGCAGACAGAGACGGATCGTGGTGTGCCAAACTCTGGAAGTTTATTTAAGTTTCTCTCAAGTTCCACTGGTTTACTCTGTTTCTTTCTCTCAGACAGAATAAAGGCAGTACACAGTTTATATAGTCATTGTCACGTCACACATCGAAAGACATACGTGTCACAAAGAGACAGTCACATCATAGTCATAACATGGAGTCCTTGTAGAGTCCTTGTACAGTCCTGCACGTAGGCCATATTGCTATCTAATACTAATACCCTCCCCTTTGATCACATAATCACATGTGATCACTCAAATCGATCAATCAATAAAGTGGAAAAAGAAAAAAAAAATTCCAAAAAAAAACTTCAAAAAATTATTAAAAACAAAGAAAATGTATGCATTAAACTCATAATCATCAAATCAATATCAGTGGATTTTATCCTCTATCCTGGGAAAAAATAAAAAACACAAACAAACAAATCAAAAATAAAGTAAATAAATAAACAAAAAACAACAAAAACAAATCAAAAATAAAAACAAACAAACACTATTGGACACAGTAGAACTCAGCAGATTCAGTCAAAACACAGACAAAAACGAGCTGAGTCTCAAATTTGAAGCTAATTTCACTTTTCTTACTTTATACTTTTATTCTAATGATAATTGTTCTTCACTTCACTGTATTTTCACTATTTAATCTTAGATTGTGTACTTTACTTTTACTATTCACTATAGTTTAAAACTATTCTAATCTATTTACAAATATGTTTGCATATTTGCTTCTATTGAGCCATATTCTTAAAGAGCGACTAAACACCTGTGCACAGCCCTACTCCGCCCACATGAACATTTGAAAAGTTTCTTTTAAAAGGGCGTTGCCTGGAGGACCAAGGGACAATAAGGGGGGCTTAGAGTTGGGCGTGGTCTGGGCTGTGATTGACAGCTCACTTGTCACACAAAAAAAACAGACAGTTGTCATTGCTGCTTAAAGCAATAGTTTACAGACCAGAAAGTCTCATTCCACCCTTGATTACACACTAAGATAACTGTAAAGCTACACACCTGAACCTAATCACACTCCATAATCTCAGAATGACTCATGTAATTTAATTTTAATTCACTAGATGGCGCCAGAATACTCCAAACTGCAGCTTGGGCGTGTGTGAGAGTTGAATGGGTTCACATCACTGGCTCTGACAGACTGACGTCACACAAAACAACTGATGTCATAGAGAACTTCAGAGTCAATGGAGAGGCCAGGACTAAATTCAAATGTAGTACCACCAAAAAGGTTGAGAGGGCGCCACACAGACGTTTTTTGGCTCAAAACTGATATTTTATCTAATTTAAACTAAAATGTCAAAAAAATGACCAGGATATGTAGACAGCACTACAATAAACATATTTATGCAGTTTATGAGTTGAAAAAAGTTGATTTGGTGTTTAGTCGCTCTTTAAACATACATTTTAATCTCTCTGTGGTATTATACTCTAATTATCAGTGGCTTATTGTTAGTGGGATTTTGCTCCATGTCTATTCTCATTCTCAGGAATAAAACTGTGAACACAGTAAGGCAAATGGTCAACATTTACACTTCTATAGTGGTCAGTGATTTATTACTTTTTATTATCTAAAGATATTATTGTCAGGCAGTTTGGGATGAATGTACATCATTAATCAAATTAGTATTATACAAGAGCTAATCTATTTTAGCAGGTTTGGGGTTGGGGTCAGTTATTCTACAATGGTGTTTGTGCTGGAAACTTCTCAATATCTAAATATCTACTATTGTGTTTTTGGGCTACACCCCAATACATCAAAATGCTTTTAAATGCTTTTGAATCTCTGTTGGTTGTAATCTATC